CGTCACCTTTCCTCAAGACAGGGTGCATTCGAAAAAGCCATGTGTGTCATGCAAAACCATGTATGTCGTGCAAAAACCATGCAAAATCATGCCATGCCAAAACCATGCAAAATCATGTCATGCAAAACCATGCAAAATCATGCCATGCCAAAACCATGCAAAATCATGTCATGCTGCAAAATCACACCGAGCAAATGTCATGCACAAACCATGCAAAATCATGCCGTGCCAAAACCATGCAAAATCGTGCAAAACAAGCTATTCTCAACTGCACATACGGCGCGGCAGGGTGGCTTTGATGCCGGGCAGGTGGCGCGGCCGGGAGGCTTCGATGCCAGGCAGGAATGCGAAGCTCCGATGCCGGGCAGGTGGTGGAACGCATTGCACTTCGAAAACATAAGTGCCACTTATGTTTTCGAGCGGCGCGCTCGGTATCGAAGCCTCCACGTCGGCGGGCTGGCGTGGCTCCGATGCCGGGCAGGAATGTGATGCTCGAAAGCACAAGATACGCGCAGTCACATTTGCCTCGTAGCTGCGTTTCTGCAAGACGAGCACCCTCAAAAGGAACCCTGGCTGGCTCGGCTCTTGGCTCGCTTTTTGGCTGGCTGGCTTTTTGGCTGGCTGGTTTTGGCTGGCTTCTGGCTATCAAAAAAAGAGGCTGGATGGCTTTCTGGCTGGCTTCTGGCTGGGTTTGTGGCTGGCTTCTGGCTGGCTTCTGGCTGGTTTGGCTGGCTTTCTGGCTGGTTTGGCTTGGCTTCTGGCTGGCTTTCTGGCCGGCTTGGCTGGCTTCTGGCTATCAAAAAAAGACAGTTAACTGGCTTTCTGGCTGGCTTCTTGGCTGGCTTTCTGGCTGGTTTGGCTTGGCTTCTGGCTGGCTTTCTGGCTGGTTTGGCTGAGTTTGGCTGGCTTGGACCCTTTTTTTAGCTCGCCTTGCAGAAACGCAATTGCAAGCATATCTAGGGGTCGTTATGTTGCAGCCACGCAGCGTTTTAGACTTTGAATCCTTTGCAGAACAAGGTCGTTTCCTGGACGGACAAGTGCTAGAAGCCTCTTAGGTAGAATAGACCATTTGGGAAACCCCCTCTAAAGAGAGAGCCCCGCCTGTGTCCGGGCCCCACGGGCTCCACGTCTGGTCCTGAGACCAAAAAAAAAGCATAGTTTTGCAAGGAAAAAAAAAGACGGCCTCTCATCCGCCATCGCAAGATGTCAAGCGCGCCGGGGCGAGCTGCTGTTGCTGCTGCTGTTGAATCAAAGCTAAGTGCTCTACCCGAGCTAAGTGCCCAAGCTATGGTGCTCTACTCAAGCCAAGTGCCTACCCGAGCTAAGTGCCCTACTCAAGCTATAATTAAAGTGCTCTACCCAAGTTATGATTAAAGTGTTCTATTCAAGCTAAAGTGTCCTACCCAAGCTAAAGTGTCCAAGTAGTGCCCACCCAAGCTAAAGTGCTCTATCCAAGCTAAAGTGCTCAATTCAAGCTAAAGTGCTCTACCCAAGCCAAGCCAGTGAATGCTACTGTTGCTGCTGTTGCTGTCCTGTCCGATCCGGACGCTGCGTGTGCGGAAATTCTCTCTTAGGGAATCAACAAAACTGTTCGCACGGAATCTCTTTTTCACTTCAACTTTAAAGTTCTCATCTGAAGATTTACCCCTCCAAATATCCACCGGATTTGTAGGATATCTTGACTGTTGTTGCCTATTGATGTCTTGATCAGTTTTAGTTTGTTTTGTTCATTTCTAGTATGGGGCTGCAAACAAAAAATGTCGTTTGCCACCATACCAAGGGTCAGGTAACTCTTAGTTCCCGACTAAAACCCTGAGCGAAGGATTTCACTGTTAGTGCACTAAGTGGAGTCAGCTTGCCTCTAATTTGTGGTTTGGATTGCTGGTTTGGTGGTGAGACAAAGGGTTTTCCCGTTCACCCTCTACAAAAGCCAGGGTTCAAGTCCCATCTGCGCCATCGATCACCTGAAAGGTCCCCTAGCAAGCAAAATCAAGCAACAAAATCAATTCGTGCAACACGCAAAACGTATGCAAGAAAAAATGTCAAAATCAAGAAGAGGTTACAGGTTGGCTCTTAGCTGGGTTTCCGCAGCTGGCGCACGTGTTGATTAAAAGTAGCTCTGCTCGGAGGGCAGTGGCCTTAAGGGCTACAAGCTACTGGAGGCAGCCTAGCCAGCACGGCGTCTCCACTGCCTGTCCATCAGCCACACGTGCCGGACCTCCACACGCGCGCGGCCCTGCAACGCAAGAACTCCGTGGGCACAAGCTTCTTCCAGAAGAATGTAGTTGTTGGGCTCTGCAGATAAGAGGCTGGTTGTAGTTGAAGTTCTTGGTGGGAAGCGCAGCAAGTGCAAGTAGTAGTGCTGCTCCGCTCGAGTTAGCTGCCCGTCCGTGCGCGCAAGCAGCGCGTAGGCGCCCGCTCCTCTGCGTAGATCCATTCTTTTTTACGGAGCCAGATTTTTTTTGTTCGGCCCGGCCGCAACTGCTTCCTGTGCTTTAACAGGCGCTGCTACATGTACCGGTGCGTAAAGTGCAACGCATGGCGCATGCTGTACCGCGGCAAAGCACGACAGAAGCGCCGCCGATAGTTGAGTGGAAGCGTTTTAACCCGCGCTGCCTTTGGAGCCGGAGCTGTTCTGGTGCAAGAACCTACGGAAGAGCCCCAAAGTTCTTAGCAGCCCCTTCCAGTACAGCGACTAAGGTGCAGCGTGCGAAGTAAGCTGTTTGAGCAGTACGAGCTGCTGCGCCGCTGGTGCGAAAGAGTGGACAGAAGTACCGGAGCCAAGCTGGCAGGCCTGGCGCACAAGGTCTTTTTTAAATTACTAAAGGCCAAGCGGGAGGTTTCCACGGCGGCGCAGCGGCAGAAGGTCCTGGCCGTGCAGCAGAGCTTGTGCGCGCTGCGCGGCTGCACGGTACGCACCTGCAAGCTGGACCACGTTGTGCCGGTGCGGCAGCTCTAGCGGCTGCAGGCGCTCTGCGTTAACTGCCACAGCAAGAAGACCTCCGAAAATCCGCGCAGTCCACAAGTCTGGAGAGCTGCGTCTGTCCGGTTATGAAGGCCTATGTGCGCAGTCCGAGCTGCCGCCTCTCTCTTTAGAGGGGGTTTTCCAAATGGATTCTATTCTATCTGACAGGCTTCTAGCACTTGTCCGTCCAGGAAACAACCTTGTCCTGCAAAGAATTTAGTCTAAAACGATGCGTGGAGCCTGTGGCTGCAACAACTCCTAGATATGCTTGCAATTTGTTTTGTAGCTGGGTTTTTGCAAGACGAGCTAAAAAAAAAGGGCCCAAGCCAGCCAAACCCAGCCAAACCAGCCAGAAAGCCAGCCAGAAGCAAGTCGAAGCCAGCTAAAAGCCAGCCAGAAAGCCAGCCAACTCTCTTTTTTTTGATAGCTAGAAGCCAGTCAAGCCGGCCAGAAAGCCAGCCAGAAGCCAAGCCAAACCAGCCAGAATGCCAGCCAAACCAGCCAGAAAGCCAGCCAGAAAGCCAGCCAGAAAGCCAGCCAGAAGCCAGCCAGAAAGTTATCCAGCCTCTTTTTTTTTCTTTTTTTTTTTAGTTTTTTTGATAGGCAGAAGCCAGCCAAAAAGCCAGCCAGCCAAAAAGCCAGCCAGCCAAAAAACCAGCCAACCAAAAAGCCAGCCAGCCAAAAAGCCAGCCAGCCAAAAAGCCAGCCAAGAGCCGAGCCAGCCAGGGTCCTTTTGAGGGTGCTCGCCTTGCAGAAACGCAGCTACGAGGCAAATGTGACTGCGCATATCTAGGGGTCGTTATGTTGCAGCCACACACCTGCGCGCAGCGTTTTAGACTTCGAATCCTTCGCAGGACAAGGTCGTTTCCTGGACGGACGAGTGCTAGGAGCCTCTCAGGTAGAATAGAATCCATTTGGGAAACCCCCTCTAAAGCCAAGGCTGCGGTGGAAGTGCCGCCGCCAAGGGCCTTCGCCGCGAACGCCACGCGGCTTTTGGGAGCAAGCCGCCGACCCGGTCGCTTGCGCGGCTGGCTGCGTCCTCCGAGCCGGTTTCGGCGCTTTTGACCGATGTGCGTTAGCAGCTGTTGCCCTTGGTGCGCAGTCCCTTTGGCTGGCAGCGTGGCGCGCGTTCAGGTGGATGATGAGCGGCCAGTGCGGGCTGACTCTGGAGGTTACAGACTTGCGCCCTCAAGAACAGCCGCGTGAGCGCCCGCTCGGAATCGAAGGCGGCTTGAAGTGGCCAAAAAAGGTGTCATGGCGCAGCAGCTTCGGGAATGCGTTGGGTTTGACGCGGGCGCGCGCCGGGACGAAGCACAAGTGCTAGCGCTGATCGTGGCGCGTGCGTAGCGCGGCAAGCTGCCGAAAAACCCATGTGCAGGGCAAACTGCCCATCTGAGCGCGCCTAGAACATAAACGACTGTGGCGTGTTTGGATTGTTCCTCGCCCCCCGGTCCCGGTTTTGCTCATTTCATGCGCAGGCGCAGGGCGTTTTTTCATCGTTCGGAGCACAGGTCTTCATTCCATGCCCCAGTGCTCAGAAGATGTTTTTTTTTGATTGTGCCTTCTTGGGCTTGTAATGCAGCTGTGGTGGTTGAAACTTCTCGGAGTTGGCTTGAACGTTCGGGGAATGCTTCCCTTAGTGTGCGTCAGTGGTTCTGGCGTTGGTTCGAAGCTGTGTTGTGAAGATGGCATGCTGGACACTTTGTGGCAGGAATTTTCTTTTGGATTTTTTTTTCGTTGTGACCATGCCATTGTCAATGTGAGTTCTTTCCTGTGGATTTTTGCTTTCGTGGGCAGGCATTGCTTGACGGCAAGTCTTTTCGCATTGCGCAGGTGCCTGATGCCATGAGAGTTGATGTGTCCGGCTGCAGGTGTTGGCACAAACGCACTGAGTTGAGGTTCGTCACTCCAGCAGTCAGCCGCAGCCTTCATGAGATACAGCGCACCACATGTTTTGATAGACTGTTTGCCATGTTATCATTATCATGCACACATTCCGCACCCAAATTGCGAGACACTTTAGCTGTCCTCTGCCATGAAGCGACCTGCAGGAGATGGAGAAGAACCACCGGCTAAGAAGCTGCGAGCACTGCCACCCATTGGAAAGGTGGCTGAGGAAGACAAGCATGTTTTCATTTCTTTACAACATTATTCTGAGAAAATTGAGAAACTGTTTGAAGGAGACCATGATTTTGTATTCATCCGCGGCGGCGTCGCCATCGGCAAGACCACCTTGGCAGAGCATTTGGGGAGAGAGTTTCCGAAAAAGTATGTGACCGTGCCCTTCACTGGTGGTGGCACGGCAGAGGCTTGGACACAAGGGACAATAGAAGCTGTAGAGGCGGCGACTGGCGAGAAGGTTGACAGAACCGAACTAGCCCTGCGGAATGCCCTGAAGCTGGCGAAAAATAGGGAACTGACCCTGATTTTCGACGAAGCCCACACACTTTTTGCAAGTGACTTATGCCCCCAGCTCTTCAAGAGCACCAGCGGCTATCGACCAAAAAATTTGCTGTTCTCAGCTTCAGGGGAAACTTCAACTACGGGACCGCAACTTGCAGTGGCTACACCATCTGAAATCACCCAGAAGTTCATGTGGACACCACCGCTGCCCGGCACTCTAGAGCTGAAGGGGCAGCTGGAGGAAAGCGGCGTCAGGCTGGACGAGAAGAGCATCGAGTTTTTAGCCCTGTTTTGTGGTGGCCATCGCGGCATTTTCATCGCTGCGACGCACTGGGTGAAGAGCAAGCAGGCTGGTGAGAGCTGGGGCTTCAGCCAGACTGTGGGATTTGTGCGCAAGAGCTATGACAAGGGGGGTTGGGACACTGGCACAGGGATTTTAGCGTTTGTGGGACGGAGCCGTGCAGTGCGTGTCAATGGTAAGTTCAGCCCTGTCGGCAACACTCCGCAAGAGTTTGCAGAGCTGTTGTGCAAAGGGGCAAGCCGCATTGCAACGCTGGAAGTTCGGAAAGAGCTCGCCATCAACGGCTTCGTACTTCTCAAACATGACAGATGCATTGAGGGAGAGCTCCAACAACTGGATTGGAACAACGAAGGCACAGAGTACCAAGTGGCGAACCCCGTACTCGCTTCGTACTACCGGTACAATCTGGAGAAACATTGCAGTTTAGAAGTTCAGTTTGAGCCCAGCAATCCCCAACATTGTGCTGATTTATTGCTGCGAGCCCTACCCTACGTGTTCTTTGCCGAAGTGGTGTGTTCCTCATTGTCAAAAGAGCTGCTACCCTACGCAGTCCAGTACAACAAGTGCTTTCAGTCAATGTTGGAGAAGTTGAACTACCGTGCCCTCGAATTCCACAGCTCATGTGCTGGTGAAGGCAAGCCCGATTGCGCCGTGCAGATCGAGAAGGAGACGTTTGTCTTGGAGAGTGTGATGCATGCCCGCGGGCAGGGAAAAATCAATCAGCACCTTCAGCGCTTCAACAACATGGTCAACTACAAGAACGCCAAGCACCAGGGTCTCTGCATCATCGGCAACGACAGAGAGAAGATGCTCGAGACCTTGAAAAAGACTGAAGCCGGTAAGGTGCAACTGATAGGCTTAGTCCCCAACTGATAGGCTGTTCAAGAAGGATTGGTGGAAAATAGATCCTCTGATTTCTAAGGAGTGCAACTTTTTAGAGCAGACTGTTTGGGGTTTACGCCGGTGAAATTTTGTGATCCAACCCACGCCCAGTCCCTTCCATGCCAAGTTGCTTTGTCATGCTATTGCATTGCTTCATGCAACTTGTGGTTTGCATGCTTCTCTTTTCTGTGTCGCGTTCTTGCGGCTTGACGAGATTGTCCTCACGCGGTTTGTCATTGACTGAGGTTGATGGCCTTCAAAAACCCCAAAGCTGTGGCATGACGGCTAGCTTCGGGTCGCCTCCCTCACTTTGGGCGTTGCTATGCGTCATTTGTGGTTGAAGTAGTACTGCCTGCATGCCAGCAAAGCTGTTTATCATGTGCTCAAGGGTTAGCGGGAGATGTCCAAGCCTGGGCACGTGCTTCGGTGCTGTTGTTCACTCAAACCCTTTGAGAGCATGTTCATCACTTCAACAATCAGCCACACCATAGAAACAGTAGTTTGTACCAAGAGGCAATGTGTTGCAGTACTGCCATGTATTCAGGCAATGTGTGGGACATACCCTCAGAGAAAGTTCATCAGTTAGGCGTCCCCCATCATGAGGCGACCTGCCCAAAGACGGCAAGGCCTGTGCAAAGTGATGAAGACCTGCGCGCTGGTCTTGGCGATGCTTTTCATTGACAGTGCGCACGAGCATTTGACCTTTGTCGGCGGCGGATGCAATCCATTCCAGCCCCCCAAGAGATTCGACGCAAGACTTCCGACTAGATTGAAAGCGCAAGTCCGCAATGCAAGTCCCCAAAAGCGTCGGATACTGCCACCGCTGGGCGACTCGGCAGATGTGCAGAAGCATGTTTTCATTTCCCTGACAGACTACGACAAGAAAATTGACAAGTTGGTTGAAGGAGACGATAAAGTCGTTTTCATCCGCGGCGGAGTAGCCACCGGCAAGACAACACTGGCGGAGCATTTGGCACGTGAGTTTCCCCGAGAAGTACGTCAATGTTCCTCCAACTGATGAATGCTCCGAACAGGCCTGGAAATCGAGGACAGTTGAAGCTATCGAGGAGCGCGCGAAAACGACAGTTGAAAGAAACAGTTTAGAGTTCAGCAATGCCCTGAAGATAGCAAAAGCAAACGATCTGACCTTGATTTATGACGAAGCCCACACAGTGTTCGCATCCGCGACATTGTGCTTTAACCTCTTCAAGAGCAACAAACAGTATCGAACAAAGGTGTTGCTATTCTCAGCTTCAGGGGACGCTTCCACTGCATCCGGCCGTGTTGTGTCCACACCCGCTGAAATCACCCAGAAGTACATGTGGATACCTCCCTTGAGCTACACGCAAGAGCTGGAGACTCAGCTTGAGGAAGCCGGTGTTAGGCTGGACCAGAAGAGCATCCAGTTCTTTATGCGATTTTGCGGTGGACATCGTGGCATCTTCATCGCAGCAATGCACTGGGTGCAGAGCAAGCAGAGCAAGCAGAGCAAGCAGAGAAGTGGTAAAGGCTGGGATTTCCGGCAGACAGTGGGGTTTGTGCGGAATAGCTACAATGGAGGAGATTGGGATTGCGCAAGCAATGAGATTTTGGGATACCTGCAGAAGAGCCGTGCAGTTAGGGTCAATGGCTTCTACGAAGATGTGAGCAACGTGCCGAGAGAGTTTGTAGAGCTTTTGTGCAAGGGCTCAACAACATTGCCACACCATCTCCGGAGAGAGCTTACCATCTACGGTTTCGTGCTTCCTATTTACAGTGGTACAGAGGGAGAGTTCCAACAGTTGGATTGGAGGAGTGAGGGCGCAGAATACCGAGCGGCAAACCCTTTGCTTGCCTCGTATTACTTCCACAATTTGAAGAAGAGGCACAGTTTGCAAGTTCAATTTGAGCGCGGCAAACCCCAACACTGTGCAGACCTATTGATGCGCACCTGCTCTTCTCCCAGGTTGTGAGCTTCGAAGGAAACACATCTGAGTTGGCGAAGGATGGTCTTCCGGGTGAGGAGCAGTACAACCAGGCAATTTGCACGGTCTTGAAAGATATGGGATTTCAGCCCGTTTCCACAAAGCGATCTCGGAAGGGTGAAGGAAATCCAGACATTGCACTTGAAATTGGTGGGGAGCGTTTTGTTTTGGAGGGCGTGAAACTGAATGGAAACATCACCGAGCACCTTCAGCGCTTCGATAGCAAGACCAACTACAAGAACGCCAAACACAAGGCTCTTTACATCATCGGCAATGACAGTGAAAGGATGCTCGACAAGGTGAAGAAGACTACAGCTGATGATGTTCAAGTCATAGGCTTAGTCCCCAACATCGCCCACACCGCATACACCGTCCACGTCAAGAGCAAGGGCATCGAAGGCATCAACACCTGCAACGTGGACTGCGATCTTGTGGCAAGAAGGTTGGTGCTCAAAGACGATGGCAAACCTGAGCTCCACAGCGTGCAGTCGCTCAAGAGCATTAACCTGTCTCCCAAAGCTGAGACCAGCCCCTTGCACTTGCTTTGCACCGCCTTTTTTTGCCGGTCTTCCGGTGTTTTGCCCGTTTTTTGAGGGGATATGCCAGTTTTTTCATTCAGTTCATGGGTTGTCAGTTGCAAGAGCCAAGGTCAGCCTGCGAAGACAGAGATGGTCTGGGTGCGAGAGTTGAAGGAGGAGAACGGCGAGTACAAGCTGGTGGGCAATGCCCTTCCAACCGAGCCTGTGCCGAAGAACATCGGCTTCCTGAAGGAGGTCATCAAGGAGAAGGCGCAGTTGCAACCGCCTGCTCACACTCTCACCGTCTACCACCTCACCGAAGGCACGTGGCAGGAGGAGAAGAAGATGAGCGCTACATTGCGCCCTTCCACGGAAGAGACGCCTTACGGCTACCTCGTACCATAGCAATATGGTTTCTTGCGCTTTGCACTTCAAGTTTCAAGTTTCACTCAGAACAGCACGTTTCGATACACATTCGCAGGGGTGGTTGGCAGACGATGCTTTTGCTTGAGCATGAGCATGGCAAGAGCAGAACAATTGATGTTGTAAGACCAGTCCAACCCCACTCGGATTGAAGCAGTCAAGTTTCACCCAGCACAGCCAGCACAGAGTTCTGTGAACTCTTTTTCTGCAAGATGGATGAAGTGGACTCCGAATTTTGCACGTCAACAATACAGAGTTTGCAGACACAGATACGCTATGAAGAAGAGGTGGCAAAAAGAGAAATCAAGATGAACATAGATGAATGTTTTGCGTCAATACAGTGTGAATGTCAAGAGTTTTACTTGGAAACATATTGTTGAGTCCATCATGTTTTTTTTTGGAATTAGAAAATACAGTTCCGGAGCTCATTGGATTTGCGTTTTGAAACAATTGAGCGGTTTGGAGTAGCGCCTCATTGTGCTGCAAACACCATCCAGCTTGTGTCCGAACAAACCAGCTTATGTCCGAACCAGTCAGCGGATGTCCGAACCAGTCAGCTTATGTCCGAACCAATCAGCTTTTGTCCGAGCCAGTCAGCTTACGTCCGAACCGTGCTGTGCGTTGCGCAACGTGTTTTGTTTGGAGCGATCTGTCTTGCGACCGCGTCGGGTAGATGTGCAAGGATCATGCATCATGGCACTCGCTTGTGCGAGACCAAATTCCTCCTAGCTTCCAAAATCTGCAAGATTGGCCGACCCCACTCTGGCCGCTGGGGAGGTGGATCCCGTACAAACTTCAGAATGTGCTGGAGCAAAGGCGTGCGCCCCTGCAATCTGGACACCAGCGGCCAGTTAGGCACCGCCGACATGTCTCACTTGTGCAGTCTGTTGATGCACCAATCGCATCATAGGCCCGCCGATGATTGCAGATTGCACTTACTCCTGAAGGAGGCTGCTGCGTCCGGTTTTTGGCCGACTTGTTCATTTGGCTATTTTGTTCTTTGAGCCGTGTGTGCAATCAATCGACATACATGGCGTGTCACGCTTGAGCCCGCAGTACTGCGCAGGGCTGCTGATGGCCACCTTGGGGCTCTCGCCGACGGCCATGAGCTGCCGCCGCGCCTCGCGCAGGTCCTCGCACCAGAACAGCCCCGGCTGCACGTCCGCAGCGTCAAAGCGCCTCCACTCTCCGATGGGCGGCAGGGTCTGCCTCGCCTCGCCCCGGTAGAGCACGCGCGCCGCCTGCCGCTCCAGCACCCGCTTCACGGCCCTGTACATGTAGCAGTGCCCGTCGAAGGCCAAGAAGCACACGGTGCGGTGCTCCTGCAGCGCCGGGTCGTAGCTGTCCACAAGGTCGCCCTGCGAGCTCAGCACGCGCATCGGGGCGTTGCGCCGCACGCAGAACTCGCGCACCTCCTCGGCGGAGATGCAGTCGTGGCGCAGCGGCGCACACCTCCTCCACGCTCAGCTGCAGCAGCAGAGCGGCTTGTCCTCGAAGGCGCTCGGCAGCACGTCCTCCTCGCAGGGCAGCTGGAAGCTCACGCGCCTCAGGCCCCTCATGCGCTGGCGCAGGAGCGTCTCCACCTCGGTCCTGGAGTTCCTGTACTGCGTGCTCTGGGTGCTGACCACCCAGTGCCCCTCCGGGTCGAGGAAGTAGGTCTCGTCCGAGAGCTGCAGGATCGGGCCGGCCGGGGTCGCCGAGCAAGGCCACTTGTTGTTTCACCCGCTGCGCCACCTGCTCCTCCGTGAGGTGGGCCGGGTGCCTCGTCATGGCCCCGCCCAGCTCGTTCACCGGCAGCCAGTCCCTGCGCTCGTAGCCCGCCCCCGCGTTCCGCCCGCTGCGCCTCCTGCCCCGGATGATCACCGGCACGTGGACCAGGTACTCGTAGAACTTGTCGCGGAAGAAGCCCTTGCCCAGCTTGGTCAGCCGGTGCTCTCCGCCCTGCAAGGAGCGCACGAGCTTCTTCCGCCCGTTCGTTGCGCAGCGTTCGGCCCCTCGCGGATGAGGGGCTGGGAAGTCCTTGCTGGGAGGCCGCAGGCCCAGGTGAGAGTAGTAGTGCTGGCCCGCCCGGGTCAGCTGCCCGTCCGCGCGCGAGAGCAGCGCGTAGGCCCCCGGTCCGCGCCGCAAGTTCAGCACGACGGCTCCATCCGCCCCCGTGCGAGCCCGGGCGCCGCCGTCCGCGGCCTCCGTGATCTGTTGTCGTTGTCTTGCCCAACTTGCCATTCTTTTTTACGGGGCCATTTTTTTGCCCGGCCGCGCGCATTCTCCCCGACCATCTGTGTGCGTGGCGAAGAAGCTGGCGCTGGGGGAGTCTCCAAGCAGGCGTGTAGGAAGGCTAGGAGTGCCGAGCAGGCGCAGTGCCGGGCAGGCGTCAAACGCCGAACAGACGTTTTTTTCGCCCGCCCAGTCCACCGTTCCAGCCTCGCGATTTCCGTCTTCCTCTGGGGAAGCTCCTCGCCTGTGAGCTCGCGCCCGAAACCGTAGTTGCGGCGCGTCCGACCGGCGGCCACTTCGGTTCGCGAATTTGCGAGTCTGCGCAAGAGAGGCGACCTGTATTGTTTCGCCGTGGCGAAAGGTCGGCTTGCGTTGCTCGCTTTCTGTCACAGCCTTTTAAAGTTTGAGCCTCAGAACGCGCGGCTGAGAACGTTGTCGGTTTTTTTGTACGAGCGCGAAAGCGACGGGGGCAGTGCCAGGAAGTGTTAAAACCCTCTAGGCCCCGTGCCGAAATTGGGTAGCTGTTCTGAGGTCCTTGTTGGTGTTGCTTCCCAAGTTCCATTGATCGCCATTTGGCTCAAGACACAATTGAGGTTCAAGATCTGATGTGTGACTGCAGACCTACGTGATCGGCATTAAGAGCAAAACAACTGCTTGCGCCGCTTTGTCAGGACCACTGGTGTAACTATCATTCCTTCTTCCTTACAACGTTTACACGGGTTCGGCTATAACGGCATCGTCCGTATACACCTTTCTACGTGGTTGGTATTAAAGCTTGAGGGTTCGGTGCACAGCGTCCCACGGGACGTCACCTTGCCGTCTCTTGACAGGTTATCAGCCGTAACTACAAGCTCTACACTGGACTGGGAGACAGCTGGTTTATTGCGGGTACAGGGACAATAAAGGAACGATAACCTACACAGTACAATGGCGTCTTCGGCGAGCCCAAGTACTGCAACTTTTGGGAACAGCAGCTCAGAGGGATCCAATGGATTGATGGCTCTTCCTGCGGTGATGGATATGGTTGCAGATTCACAGGATGAACCTGGGAGCGGAGGTTCCGCGCTATTCAGCGACATATCTACTCCCACAAGATCATGGAAGCAGATCGATGTTCATCAGGAGTCGAAGAAAAGGGAATCCCCACCGAGAAGATCATCATCTTCGCCTGCGACACCACGGACGTCGCAGAAGGGCGTGAGATCGACATCGAAGGGTGGGAGGTCAAAATCACCCACCAGTGCAGATTTTCGCGCCGTGATCAAAGAGAAGAATAAGATGGAGGTGGAGATCGGGGAATATCAGAAGACACTTGATGAAATGTCGGCAGCAATGGCGAATCTTAACCAAGAAGACTATGGAAGCACCATCCGGATCCAGGAGCTGGAAAGACGATGCGAGATTGCCAGCAAGCAGTCGGGACATCTAGTGAGTCACCACCAACACCACATGGCTGAGGCATGGCGCAAGTTTGAGGAAGAAGCCCAACAGATGCGCAAGGTGGAAATGAACGCATTTCAGTACGGGGAGAAGAAAGACATGGAGTCGAATATTATGATGCAACAGATGAGGCAAGCTGAAGGAACTATCATGGAGCAGAAGCGGGAGATTGCATTGATGAGATCCTACATGGCAAGCGAGAAGTCGGCCGCGCAGGAATCAGCTATACGTGCAAATCAGATACACCGTGAGGCTTCACAACAGATATCAGTTTATCAGCAACAGATCAGAGGCATAGAATCTTCTACATCTATCGAGAAGTTCAACGAGGAGGAGATGGTCCAAAGTCTGAAATCACAGTTGGAGCATGCACTCGCGCCCCGAGACGTACTCTTTGGAGGACTCCAGGGAACAGCTGATGGCGAGGCTGAATGACGTTACAGTATTTGCGGAACAGGAATCGAAGAGAGCAGATTGCTTGCTTCGCGAAAAAGAAGAGATCGTCAAACAGTATGAGTCCGACGTGTCGATGAAGGACCAGATGATTGCTGTCGAAGGTGGTCATCGTCAGGATGCGATCTTGGAGTTAGCCCAGGTCAAAGAAGAGAAACAAGAGGAACGGTGCACGATGGACGAGAAGTCGAAGGAGGCTGAGTACTGGAGATTGACAGCTAAGGGAATGTACGATGAGTACCTCGAGGAGATGCATGAGCTTCAGGGACAACTGAAGGAAAGAGAGGCGACGCTCAAGCAAGAAGAGAGTTTTGTACGCCAACTCGATGCTGACAACGAGGAACTACGTGCACACAAGAAGCTGGAGATGCAGGAAGCCTCCAGCAGCAAAGATGGACATCGTGAACGAGCAGTAGTGAAACGCGCTGAGGGAGGAACCCAGGCTAATTCAAATAGGATAGACAAGAAGGTGGCTGGGTCAGTCCCGTCATCGTCTTCAAATCAAATCCCTAATTCGTCGCTGATGCCAGGTTCGATCCTCTTTCCGTCTTTCGGTGATCCAATGATCGATGTACACCTATCCCAGATGCAAGGGGTTGTTGGGCATGTCCCACAATCCACTGCTACTACGACTGGTGGTGGGGATGGAGGGGGAAACAACGGTACTACGCCCCCATTGGATTACGGTGGATTCCCGCCCAATGGGAATGGGCAGGGAGCGGGTCGACGTCAGTTGAGCCTCGCTGGTGGCGGAGGAGGACCTCCGGATGATCCACCCGATGATGAGGATGAGGATGACGACGACGAAGGAGATGAGGAAGACGAGGAAGAAGAAGAGGAAGAAGACGATCGGACACGGAGGAGACGAAGGAGAT